TTCTATGGCTAAAAGAAGGAAACAAAGAGATTGCATAGACTGTAGCTGTATTTAAACAGATCCTTTCACTATGAGAAGATATATTCTATTATTTTAGTCGTGATAAAGATTGTAACATAGATAGAACATACACTGTAGTGTTGATGTGAGGATAGTGGGTAGTTCTGGCATGGGGTGCAGGTCCCCTTGGAAGTTTTCAATGATTCAAAAACCGAAAATTTTGTGTCATGTGAACAAAAAAAGTCAAATAAAAAATAGGAAAAATATTTGTCTTTTTAAATGACACAATTTATATCATTTCATTCTCACAAAGAGGTAGGACTCACACCTTTATTTTGTTTTTTCACTCTCTTTCTCCTTTTATCTATCTCTTTCACTTACTTAAAATAACATAATTTTACATCCTTTAAAATGACACATATTTTTTCCGTAAAAAACTGTCTAATACATAAAAGCAAATCCGTAGTCGAGTCTATTACTTTATAGAGTAAATACATTTTTGGGTCCCTAACAAAAAACACGGTCCCACTTTAGTCCCTTACAAAAAAATTAGTCAGTTGGTCCTAACAAATTCAAAGTGGACCCATTTTAGTCTTTTTGAGAAACTAATATGGGTCTTTTTTGAAATTGTGAGGGACTACAATTTCAACTAAAAGGGTCCACTTTGAATTTGTTAGGGACCTGACTAATTTTTTTTTTTGTAAGAGACTAAAATGGAGACCGTATTTTTTGTTAAGGACCACGAAGGTATTTACTCTAGTTTATAATATGTTATCTTGTCAGATTGGGACTGATCATGTTTAGATTAATCGAAGTCAATAAATACTTTATTAAGTCTGTTTGAGGAATATATGAAAGCACCATAACAATAGAGATAGCCTTTGCTTTTTCTTAGTACCACCTTTCAATGATCATTAGTTCTAAACCTTACCTAGCAAGTGGAGTGGTCCTATTTTTTATTTTTTTTAGTACAAGAGTGGTCCTATTATTATGAACCAGTTATTATTATAAGCTATTTGTTTCCACTATTCGATTATACAAACTAGTTAAGTATATAGTGATTTACAATGATAGCATTGAGTTATGGAATATCTAATTTTGGTTTTGAAATTCTACTTTAAGTTTACTTGGTTCCATCTCTTTATTTTGCAGGAAGACATCATGTAGTGGTGGTGCACCACCTCAAAAGCTGGTGCGGAGATCCCAACTGAAGATGTGATAGAAAAAAGAATTAAAGAAAATAATAAGTTTTGGGTTTGGAGGCAAATATTTACCATTAAAAGTTTGTTTATTCCATCTTTTGTAGACCAAATTTTGTTTTTCTCTCTGTTTCCTTATCCAATTAATTGTATATGAAAAGGAAGGATAAAATTGAAGATGTAGCTCACACACCCATGACCCAACCATGCATCATAAAAAACATTCCTGTTTCAAGAATTGCTTTATCTTTTAAATAAAAGAAACGCCAATGCATTACAATCAATACTTCTACCTTACTTTCAGCTTAAATTTGTATTTTTGTACATTGCTTTTGAATAAGACACCTTCATGGAGTTTCTTGCATCCTGGGTTGATAAAAATTTGAAGATCAATCTTGTTTGCAGAAATATTTGGAGAAAAAGTTCTCTCTTTTCCTCTCTAGTATAATCCTTCTAAATTAGTGATGATGTCAATATTATTTGTTGGCACTATCTTTTAAGAGGTAGGATCCTTTGACACCGGTGTCAAATTTGAATTTTGACACCTCATTTAAGAGCCATTACATCAAGAAAAATCAACGGTGTCACATGCTTACAAATCAGAGCCATTGATCTTTTTTGATCTAATGGCTCTCAGATGTGGTGTCAAATTTCAAATTTGACACCAGTGTCAAAGGATCTTACCTCATCTTTTAAATAGCGCTTACATTTCATTCCCCCCTGAATTGATTAAACTTGTTTAAGCCTTAATTAAGCTATTTTATTTTCGTAAATGATATAGAGCCTGTTTGTTTCTTCTTCTAAAAAAAGTAACTTTTATTTCTTCTTTATTTTAGAAGTCCTTTTTACAAAAGTTAAAACTATTTATATTTTTATAAAAATATTTAGTTTTTAAAAAAAATATTTTGCTTTTGACTTCTGCTTTTTTTAGAAGTTAAAATTTTTAACTTCTGGAAAAAGTAAACTTTTGACTTTTTTGTGACTTCTGTTTTTTTAAAAGCAGGTATCCAAATAAACTAAAACTGAGAAATGCTTTTTTTCAAGAAAAAAGCAACTTTTGGAGGAAAAAAACTCATGCAAACCGGGGCAAATAACTTTTATGCAGCTGAAAAAGAGGATAACTTGCACCAGAGAGTTCGAAATCCGTGCCAAAATATTTATTTTTATTTTGTTTTTCTAAAAAGTAGTGGGTCCTATGATTTTGTTTCTATACACCACGATGGAATTTTGCTACAACGCATATCTTTTAAGGGAAAAACTACTCTTATGTTATATGAAATAAAAAAAATTTCTACACATCTTTCGATAACTGTGCCATCTTTTTCTTTTTCTTTTTCAGGTGGTGGAGCCCACAAGTTTATCTTTATGACATGAGATAACTTATTTCCTTTAACATGAGATTAATAAAACCCTAATAGGAAAAAATGTGTATCATTTTAAAAGATATAAAGTTGTATCATTTTAAGTGATAGAAAGAGATAGATAAAGGAAGAGAGAGTTGACAAAAAAAAAGATGTGGGTCCCACCTCTTTGTGAGAGTAAAGTGACATAAGTTATGTTATTTAAAAGGACAAATATTTTTTTCATAATATTATGGAAAACTATACTTTCAAATGACATAAATTTATGTCTTTTTAAGAGAGAAATAGGCACAAAGAGATATGGATCACTAAAAAAATAAAGATAAAAAAATGTAAACAAATGTAAATCTTACTTGTTTGTCTATTTTTCTATTAAAAAGACTTAAATTTATGTCAAAGGAGATATTTTTCTCAATAATAATACACGAAGAAAATGCTGCTGTCATAACTTCAAGAAGCAAGATACTGTGTATGCGGAATAGCCCACGTCACAATTTAAGAAGGAATTGGACTTTGAAATTTTGAATGGAAAATATTCTTCCCAGCCTGCCATTGTATGATTAATCTTCTCAAGAATTCTTGAAAATTGGATCTACTTACATCAAAAGAAAGCTTTATTCTCTAACCAAAAATAAAAAGAAAGATAAGTGAATTCTTCGGTAAAGATAAGGAAAAATTTATTAAGTCATATTTATTAATTAATTATTAATTTTATTAAAAAAATTTAATTTTTAATTTTTAATTATAATAAATTATAATTATTAAAATGACAAAAATCAACAGTTAAGATTTAGTTGTAAGAATTACTAATCTAAATAGTTTGTAAATCCTTATTATTATTATTATTTTAAAGAAAACAAACTCTTAGATTTTCCAATACCTTTTCACCACTTAATAAAAAAACAAGATACGTGTTTACCAAAAAAAAAAAAAAACCAAGATTCGTAAAAAATAGGTAATTAGTAGATGAGATTAAAAAAGAGAGATGTACGAAATCAAAAAAGATTGATACCATGTATTTATATTCAGAGGAAGAGTTACATGCAAGACTCTCTTTTTCTTATCAAATTCTTATCTCGCTGATTTTATTATTTAAGATTTTTAATAAAATAATTAAATTAACGTACAATAAAAGGTGAAAATCAAATGAGGAGTGTTTTTAAATTATTAGGTGAATATCTCACCTCCTAACCTTATATTTTTTCTTTCTTAGTTTTACATCTTCTCGATTAAAACAATGTAACATTTTGTAACAATTTTTTTTTTAATCTTTTGTCTATTTTTCTTTAACCTGTAGATATAGGTTAACTTAAAGTCATAATATTATAAAGATATATAAAATTAACTTAAAGTTTCACACAAATCAAAGTGACAATATTATCTTGTTTATATATTATCTTTCACTATTATCTCTTTACAATTTCATTTATTTTATGTTATTGCAATCAATTTGACAGCACAAATAATTTGTCTTGAATAGTTTATTTTTTATTTTGTTTCACATCAACGTTTGGTGTAAGGAGCATTAATTTCATAAAAGAATGGTTGTTATACTATCACTATATTTGGATTTTCAGTGGTTAGCCTCTCAGTAATGCCAGGCTGTAGAAATTACTTAAAAAAAAAAACTGTAGAAAAGTGCTGGAACCAAAAAAAAGAGCAGGTTTTTTTTTATAAAAAAATGTTTTTTCATATTGTATAAGAATTTAATTTTTATGTTGTGACCTTTCGATTTGTTTGTAAATTTATTTATTTTTTAATATATATCGGGCCACTTTTAGTTAAGTCACAATATGATAATTCAATTCTCATGCAACATGAGAAAATCAAATTTTTTTTTTATAAAAGATTCATCTTTTCACTGCTCTTTCTCTCTTTTGATAATATGTATAATTAAATTTAATGAGTTTGTAAAGCAATCTCATGTTATAAATACATGGAAAAACGTATCCAATTCTTTTTTTTTTAAACCTGTGGGCCCATTTTTTTGGTCAGGTGGGGACAGGATTTCTGTCAATTTACGTAAGAGAAGTAATGCGCTATTATTATATATGTGTATAATTTTAAGGTTATAATTTTTTCATATACGAGAAAAAAATTTATGCTATACATACATCTTGTATGGCACTCATATTTATTTAAAAAAAAAATACTGCACAAAAATCAATGGAAGAAATTGTTTCTTATAATTTTAATTATTTTAAAAGTAGTTAGTGGTTGAATTGTTTTTTTTAGAAAAAAAGGAATTCAACAACTTTATAAGAAAGTTTTAAAAAAAATAATTATTTAACTCGTAATAATATTACGAGATGTTAAGCGATATGTTAGACAGAAACGCGTAAAAATCAATTTTCTACCCACAAAACAAAACACATTGTTTTAATGATTGATGGGTACAAGGTAGTTACACAACGCTTAACACATGTGCGTTGCTTTAAATAAAATATTAATATCTCTGCAGTCGCCTCAGTACTTAAATGCCAATAAAAAGAGATCCTGAAAGTTTATCCATTTAACAAGTCACAGTAGCTGCTGCTGTGGCCATTGAATCTCCGACAAGATGCAGCAGCAACACCAAGGTAATTTAATTTAGCTAAACCAAACTAACCAGTAACCACCCTTCCTCTCTTTTCTTTTCTTGTCTTCACTGGCAGCATATGTTTATGTTTATTTACAACAAACTGTTTTTTTCAGATGATTCTATGGGTAAAGGTGTCAGCAGCTTCACACATGTTCTGGCTGCCACCTTCGCCAGTTTGATTGCCGCCGCCCAACGTTACCGCCGGCCTGAATCCACGGTGGTGGGAGACCAGAATATCATTCCCCAATTACATAGGACAGAATCCGGCCGTGTTGGAAAGATTGAAACTTTCTCCCACTATGTTGGTATGTATGTTTCCTAGGCCTTCTCCTTAATTCTCTTGCTAATACAAATTTACCTTGTAATTAAGATTTTTGGATAAGAAGAAAAGATGAGATGAGATGAGAGGATTTAAAATAACTTATTATATGGTGGCAGGGAAGCAACTTTGAGATCAAGACAAGAGAGAAAACATTTATTGAGCTTAACTATTAAACTATATAACTCATATATTTAATTATTGAATCTCCTTTTTTCATTATCCAGTTTTCTTGGGAGGTTATGGATGAATCTCTAACTTGAGTGGGACATTAATGTTCCATGTGCTTAGAAAATTAGAAATATGAAATGCGGATGAATTTTAGCTTGACTGTTTGTATTTTCATTGCAGCTAGACAGATAGGATTTGAAGATGCTAGTGAGGTGCCAGAGCTATGTAGATTGGCCCAAGACTATTTGATTAAATTCAAAGGGTGTGAAGAAAGCATCTATGAATATCTTGATAAAGAGAAGGAAACTGATTCTCTATATGTGAAATTGGTTGATGAGTTTGACAGATGCATCCTCAGTTATTTCGCATTTCACTGGAACCAAGCTGCATCTATGATTAGTCAGGTATATAATTCATTCATCACATTCATCTGTATTTTTCTTTTTTCTTTTTGGTTCCACTTCATCTATTATTCTCATTCCTTGCTACATCTTGTAACATCCCCGTCTCGAGCCGGTTCAATTAACATACATATGATAAAACAGAAAACAACGGAAGACTTAACTTACGAAAATACGAGCTAACTTTTTCTTTTTCTTTTTAAATTCTCTTTCGTCGTAAACGAAAATCGGGCAGAGTTTCCTCTATAAATCGGACAACTGGGGATTTTCCAATCCCACTCAGATGCATTTCCTGATAAGCAGTTTACACAAATATAATCAAATGCCCATCCATGGGCGCATGCATGACTTGGCTCAGTGCCACTATATCTAACAGCATGCAATCCAACACGTAATCATAAACTGAATAATACATCATCATATAACGTGCCTGAATACCCAAATGTACATGCCTCCAAGTGACAGACATGTACAAAACATATACAGGCCATATACAAAATAAAGGATCAATATCGTGATCCATCAAATGCGGAAATACTAAAAGACATCAAACACTCCAAAAGGTAGTAGCCTACAGCCACTCAAAATCCGATCTGTCAACTGCCTCAGCCACGTGTCGTGTCCCTGCCTAGTGAGGACTCACCGGGAATCTGGGCACCTGAAAATATGTCCCCAAAGAGGGGTGAGATTACAAATCTCAGTAAGCTCCAGGTTTATAGAGAATTCTCCATACCCCTGGCTCACTCCTGCATGAAAGTCAGATACAGAGTATACAAATACAACATATAACAGATATCATAACAGAACAGAGCATATATCCATATCATATCAGAGATGTGCGCCGTCATTCCCAAGGGAGGACCCCAAGCGGAAATCAACGCACGTGTTCCCGAGGGAGGACCCCAAAGCGGAACCAGACATATCAGAGGCGTACACCATCAGTCCCGAGGGAGGACCCCAAAGCGGACATCCGGGTACTATACAATCAATGGCCAGAGATTGTTACAGAAATCATATTACAGAAGTCATATCAGAGCAAAACATATCATGTTATCAAATAACTCTATATGAATGCATCTATACAAAGCATCTAAATCACAGTCATACAGTCCAACCATAGTTCACTAACCATGGTGGAGCACTCAAGCAGGAAAAGACTCCTTAAACATAGAGCTTACCTCTTGAAGCTTTACCAATACCCTTACTTGTTGCACAAGTTACTTATATATCTTCAAGAGATTCTGATTCATTTCCCTAGGTACACCTAGAGCAAGAATCCACAAATACCAATTAATAAAATGCCATCATGCCTAGCTTTCACATAAGGCACACATTTTATCGCTTCTTTTCATTTCTTTGCATTTTTGCCAATCCTATGCCAATACACAAGTCTAGACCTCTTTATAACCGTTGGTGTTCTTTAATTTAATCATCCATTTCCTTACGAATTTCCAACATAAATCATAGCATTTTACTTTAAAGGACCGTGGGCCTAAAATTAGGAAATCAATATATTTTTCCATGATTTCTTTTCAAACCATTTCATTTCATGACTTATCATTTTCATACTTTGAAACACACATATTTTATTAAAATAAAATATGACAACATCTTTCCCTAAACACCTTATATGTCGAATCCTTTAAGGGGATTTCCAAGGATCCTTCTCTTTTACAATACATTTTCCTCACTTAATTTAACAACTACACGTACATAAATATATAATATATACCAAGTTCCTATTTAATTTTTGGGAATCTCAAGCTCTTTAAATCCTTCAAGGCCGAAACATCAAGGGTATGTTTCAAAGGATTTTCTTTCAAATTTAACATTCTTACTAACTCATCAAATTTCCTCTTATTCAAGCACATTAAATCTTCCCAATACATACAATAAATCTTTGTGCATCACCCCTAATTACCCTATCAAGGCCGAAATCTAGGGTATGTCACCATGGGATTTTTTTTTCCAATTTTTATACATGTTCATATGCTTATTCCACATTCCTATATCCAACACATCATCAATCCATCATCAATTCAAATTTTAAACTAATTTATTTCACACCAACACATGCTCACAATTTCTATGACACAAACCATCAAAATAACATCATGGAAACAAAGGTTTCTTACCACTAATCAACTTCCCAAAGCCTAGAAAGCAACCTCCAAGCCAAGCTCCATCAAAAACTCACTTTTTCCACCTTGGATGAATAGTGCACGAAAAATGGGGTGATGAATATCTCCCTCCACAAACGAAATCAGCTCAAATGGAGGGGTGGAATGGCTTCCTTAGGTGATTTCCTATGGAATTGGTATAATGGGTCAATGATTTAGTGTAGGATTTATGGAGAAATCAAGAAATGAAACAAAGCAAACCCTATCCCTTCCCATGGCTGATCCTCGGGTAGAAGAGAGAGAAGAGAGCAGTTTTTTTAAATGTGAATGGTGATTTTTGTAAGCCACTTATGTTTTATAAATACTTGTGGCTTTATCGGATGTTTTTCTATCGCATATTTTTACTTGAATTGACCCGGAACCAACTTAAAGCTACTAACATATTTTTATTTTTCTAAAATCATTTACATTACTTTTTAATTCTTACAAAACAATATTCATAATTCACAGTATGATTTTTGCACCATTTTTGACGAAATGCACTGTGAATCACTAATTGTACTTCATTTACTTATAAAACTTAAAACTTATAAACTTATCATTTTCTTGGGCCTATATTGACTTGCTTGGCATATATTGGACTTTCTTATTCTTATTTCATCAATTATTTATTTCTGGACTCTACCGGTTGCTTAAACAGCAGTACAAAATACCCGGTAGAAACACTATTCACGAGATTTTCACGGAAAGTGCCAGACTATACAATTTTTCGTTCTGAACTCATATTTGTCGTCAGAATTATCAAATTATGTCTCTAAAATTATTTTGCTCTTTTAAGCTCTACCGGTTAATTCACATAACTGTAAATTCTCCGGTAGAACGCACTGTTCATACCATAGTCATGATTACAGTCAAAATACTCGGAATCATTCACTGAATCTAATTATGGCATTTAAATCCTTAAATTAAATCTCTAATTAAGATTTACCATTTAGGGTCATTATACATCTCATTTTCCTCTGGAATTTATCTTAAAAAAGAAATTTCCTAAAAGACAATTTGGGAAATTATAATGGTTGTTTTTGTAGATGTTGAAATTACAACGCCGACAATTGTAGATTTATGTTCTTTTCTTTTGGTACATATAGTGCGTGGCAGTATATATACCACAAGAAAAGGCTCAACGACTTGGTGGGGTTTTAAATTTAAAACCAAAAAATTAAATAACAAAGCAAATTATGGTCCCCGCCACAATGACTGTGTTTATCATAATTTCCCATATGGCCATATATACGGACCTACATACATTAATTCAATATCCAAATATAGCCACACGGACAATAATTCAATGAATATACCTACATACCAAATGATGGTAGTTCAGTTGGTGCATGAGAGCTGAGCAGTTGGGGGTGAGAGTATGTGTTTGATCCTCCCCAATACCACCTTTGGGAGGGGTTTAAAGCCTTAATCCTGGACTCATCCCGAATCGGACTAGTCGCGAAGCTATGAACCGATTGAAATATTTCCAAAAAAAAAAAATGAATATACCTACATTACTTTATATTCACTCATGGTAATTTTTATTTTTCTGGTTTGCTAGCCATAATTTTTTTAAGATAGATTGTTAAATTTTTTTCTATTGGCTGAATCATAGGCTTTGAGTATTGAGCCTAAGGAGAAAATAAAGCTGAAGGAAATTATATTGGCAGCTACAAGGTGAATTTCTCTTTCTAATTTTCATTTTCTTTATAATTTCTCTATTTATCACATAATCAAATAATTTAAATTTAACTTTTTTAATATAATTTTTTTATTTTAAAAATGTCAGATTTTTACAGAGTTGAAATTTTTCAGAGAAAGTTAATAACATTTTACATCTTTTAAATAGGTGAGAATGGCACTATATATGTGTATATGTATTTAAGAACAAATTTGTTGAAGCCAAGATGGTGGTATGTGTACAGGAAACAGAGGTTTGAGAGAGTAAGCGAGAAACTGAAGGTAACAAGGCTGTTCTCTACTTTGGTGGAAGAGATGAAAGCAATAAGGGGTGACTCACAATGTACAGATGTCATGGTCCCTGTGGCCCACAGTGAGAGGAGTCCAGTGCTGCTTCTTATGGGTGGTGGCATGGGAGCTGGAAAGAGCACTGTTCTTAAAGACATTCTTAAAGAGTAATAATCATCCTACTCAACCGTTGCACTATTATCATTGCTTAGTACTAATTGTCTTACCAAAATTGTGTTAGCTCAATGTACTCAAAGTAAAAATAGTGAGTCAATGACATGGATATGTTTGGTTCTTCTATTTGCACAGAATTCACAAAATATTACTAATTATTATTACATTCATAGTTCTATATATTTATACAAACAAATTATTTCATATAAGCCAATTGTCTTGTAGCTCGAATTATTTCTTGTGGCAATGATAGTATCGTAAATAGGAACCATTGTAAAGGTATGAATCTCTTAAATAGGATTATTCAAGTTTACAGGCATATTTAAGTATGAAAGGAACTATGTTCCAGCTTAGTTTACAGATTTAAGTAGATTATTTTTATGTATCAATTGGCTTTGGCAGACCCTTTTGGTCAGGAGCAGCTAAAAATGCCGTGGTCGTTGAGGCAGATGCTTTTAAGGAGAGTGACGTCATATATAGAGCCCTTAACTCTAGGGGTCATCATGATGACATGCTCCAAACTGCTGAATTGGTATGCTTCTGTGTGAACACCTCCATGCTATTATTGTCACCGTTTCTCTAAACTTGCCACTATAATATGTACAGCATGTGCCAAATGATATAGAAATCCAAAAGAAAATTTAAAGATCCTTTGGTGATTTAGTTATGACGAAATGGATGATATATTAGACCCGTATAAAGCCATTTTCAACTAATGGTTGCATTAAATTTGTCTAAATCTGATTAGGTGCATCAATCTTCCACTGATGCTGCATCATCCCTACTAGTGACAGCTCTAAATGAGGGGCGAGATGTGATCATGGATGGTACCTTATCTTGGGAACCTTTTGTGGAGCAGACTATTGCTATGGCAAGAAATGTTCACAAATGTATGTACCGAATGGGGGTAGGGTATAAAGTAGCTGAAGATGGAACTGTTACTGAAAACTACTGGGAGCAAGTGAATGAGGCAGAAGAAGAAGAACATCAACTAGAGATAAATAATAATAGAGAATCACGCAATCGAAAGCCATATAGAATAGAGCTAGTTGGTGTAGTTTGTGATGGCTATCTTGCTGTTGTTAGAGGCATTAGGTACATACCCTTGTGGATTCAGCTAAATTTCTATTTTAGTAATGTGTTTTTTGGTTAAGGCAAAGTTAACATTTCCCATTGGAATTTTGACAGGAGAGCTATTATGACAAGGAGGGCAGTGAGGGTAAATTCACAATTGAAATCTCACAAAAGATTTGCTAATGCATTTCCAAGATACTGCAAACTTGTTGACAATGCCAGGCTGTTCAGCACAAATTCTGCTCGTGGTCCGCCAAAGGTAATCAAGAACATTTTCCTCTCTTGTAATGACATGATTGACTTTACACTTAACTAGTATTAAAATGTTAAGAGGGTAACTTGTTTGTCATACAATACAGCTCATAGGGTGGAAGGATGGTGATCACAATCTACTAGTGGATACTGAAGAGATCAAATGCTTGAAAATGATAGGAGGTTTGAATGCTGAAGCTGATTCCATCTACGAACTTTACAAGGAACCCAGCCCTATAATGGAACCGGGTTCTGTTTGGAATGATATTGTTCTGTCAGCTTCAAGGCCGAGTGATCAGAAAGAGTTAAGAGAATGCATTCAGAAAATAGAGAAATCCATCAGAAAAATGTAATCAATATTGTTGCATGATATGTTGCAGTCAAAACCAAGTTTTGGACTATCTTACGAAGTATTAAGTTATCAAATTTTGTATATACATTAATCATATGGTTTATTAATATAAGAAAGAAGACTGCCATGTATTCGTTTTCCTGATATGTGCTCATGTTATGATATCTTCATACAAACATAAAATTAGTTAGAGACATTTACTTATGTAAATGTTTATTATTTATAGTAATGGTTGCAGATTTTGATTGATAATAAGATTGTGGGCCTATCAAAATTCGGACCTAAAGTAATGCCTTTGGGTTCCCATGTTTTTAGCCAGTCCTGGGTGAGCAGTTAGTAGCTTGTGGCAGTTAAAAATGTTTTATTTTTTTTCAATGTATGTATTAGTCTCACAAAATAAAATGTTTCATTCTCAGAAAAAAAAATGTGGTTGACTGTCTTCTTCTCTTATTCATGTTCTGTTTCTGCACATTTTCTGTTCCTAGCTCTTTCCTTTCCTTGAAATTTGAGCACTTTTAGCTCAGATTTGCCATGTTAGATTGAATAAAACTTGGCATTGTAACCCAAACAGACTACAAAGAAATCCTAGCAGTGTGCCCAAAAAGTATACATGTGTGAAATTTCTTTTCTGTTTCTTGAAGGGCGAAGAGACTACATTTGTTTTTAATTCTACTAGTCAGGAAGGCTCTTAATTGGAACCAAATGCATAAATCCAAAGGTTGCAGCAAACATTGCAGGAAGAGGGGTAAATTCAGACAATGAGAGTTTCTAAAAGAAGTAAGAACCAAGAAGAAAGATGAATCAGGAGGAGAGACTAAAAAGGATCCCTGAACGGTAAAGATGCAAGACCTGGGAATTCTCTTTTCACCATCTGGTTAATATAACAGAAGAAATGTTTCATACTTGATCATGCAATGGATGTTTATGGATTAAACATGGTTCTTGATTTGCATGAATATCCATCAAGATGTTGGATAAGGAGGGAAAGTCAATGATAGGGGAAAACTATCGTAAATGAACTCAATATCATATTTCAACCCAAAACTTTAATGTTAGGTTTATAAGGCATTCCACTTATATTATCTCCATTTAATTTATTTTTAATTCAGTTCATTTCTAATCAATATGCCGAGGAGAGGAAGTTTAGATATCATAGAAGAATTGGAAACCGGCAACTTGGACATATCAGGTAGTTAGAGCGAAGTAGAAATTTATGTAAGAGTTGGAGAGTCAAATTGTGCTCACAGTTTATTTATTTAGTACATTGGTCTAACAGCTTTTACATATACCCTTTTTAAAAAATATATTTTTCCAATATGTGCCCTAAGAATAGACGAAGAAATTAATTCACAATCGAAAAAGTTTGTAAAAAAATTTCATGAAAAATCCAAACAAATTGAATCAAAGTTTTGATAGTAATAGTATCCCTTGCAAGCAATTTATTAGCCCAAAAAACTGAAGTCCTCAAAATCAGGAGATATTTCCTCTATAAGCTAATATTGGTCCAATTCCTCAACCATATATTGACGAACCCGTTAACTTTTTCAACTCTAGATTACTTCAAGAACAAATGTATATACATACATCTTACAAATTAGATTCAGGACCATGTCTAGTTGCATGCCCTCTTACAACTCATTGAATTGAGTATGTTCTTCTTGGTGGTTTGATCTGAACGACTGTTATATTCTTCCTCAATCAGCATATGTTCCAATGTATTTAATGATTCACAGGGGCGTTAGGAATCACCAAAATACATGACCCTTCACCTTCAACTTCGTGAGGCAAATTCCTTAGGTTGGAGAACAAATTTTGTCACTTTCAGCTTCACTTTCAATTTCACTATCATTTTCACTATTATAGGTCTCAAGATATGCCTCATCTCCATCCTCATCATCCTCCACCTATATATCAACAAGATATTAAAACAAATAAAAAATGAAAAACAGTGTCGTATTTTTTTTGGGGGGGAGGGTTATTATAGCAGAGATAGAGAGATAGAGAGAAAGAGAGCAACCTCGTTCTCATCATCAGTAGGATAAGCAGAATCTAATTTGTCATACAATGCTTCATCTCCTTGGTCCTTTACAATCTCCATTTGATCCTATAATAAGTGATACAAGGCAAATAAGATCAGGAAACAGGGGTTTCTATAAAAGATACAACTTGGCTTGCAATACTACATGCTAAAAAAAATACGATGGAAGGACTTACTATTTCGGATCTTATCTTGTCCACTTTACTTTGCAAAGTTGAAATATGATTCAACAACGCCTGTTTGTCAATAGAAAGAGAGCTTAGCAAGGAGCATTGATTTTCACCATGAATGAAACACACAAGCATGTGCATACACTGTTGTAGCAGCTCCCCATCCACTAAAACGTGTGGATATTCCTAGTAGTTATTGTAATTATAGCAAATTACTCTATTATTGGGAAAGATTATTAGTTACAGTAGACTAGATTTTATTTTACATAAGCAATTCTTTAGACAGGTCTCTGTATTGTAATGAAACCATGTATAGTTAGAAAAATAATATTCTGATCTTTTCTATTCAAGTTACACATATACATAGAGGGAGAGATAGACAAATGGATAGATAAGAATTAGAGTAACATCTTACTTCAGTCCCGACAAAATGTATCTTTTATCACTTCAGTCCTTAAAACTTGAAATCCCCAAATTTTTCATCCCTCCTTCTGTTTAAGTTTAATGTTGAAAACTCTAAAAGATTTCCTATAATATTAAAAGGTAATATGGCATATCCAACACAGTCAACTAAGCTAAAACAATGTCGTTAGCTTGTGTGTGTGTGTTTCATTTTAGAGTTTGTATATCTTTGACTCTTTGTGAGATATATTTTGGTCAAACAACATTATTTTGGCCTAATTGGCGAAGTTAGACATGTTATGTCATCTTTTAATGTGACAAATCAGTCAGCATTGTTAAACTCAAATGGATGGAGGGATGAAAAAATTGGGGATTTTAACTTCTAGGGAATAAATTGATAAAAGATGTATCTTTCAGGGACCAAGATAATTCTATACTCTGAAAATCACAAGGCACTGTCATTTGGGGGAAAGTTTTATAAGGTGCAATCAGCTGGCAGACCAGCAACTTCATCAAGGTTCAGCCAGACATGGAGCAAAGAAAAGGAAATTTCTTTCAGGGGTCTTCAGAACATTAGAAGAAAAATAGTATAAATTATTTATTAAAGAGATGGGCCTTAATCTAGTGGTCCTGCCGGCTGACATTAGGTAGCCATAACATTGTGGTTTTAGAGGTGCAGTAAATACAGAAATGACCGTTGCAAATGTTTATCTCCAGATCTACATGAAGATTGATAATATAAAATAAGAGTCTGCATACATACCTCGTGTCGTTGGAGCTCAATTGAACGTGCCAGAGCCTTTCTCTTTGTCAAAAGATTCTTTGGTCTCAATGTTGAAGGACGCTGGTAGTCGTTTCCCCGATAAACAATTATAGAATATCCTTTTGAAACTTTGTCAACTGAAACTAGAACACCTCCACTCTCAGCTTCAAGTGCTAGTGCAATTTTTTTTACTTGTTCGAAGTTTTTAGCTTTTACAAGTATCTTGACCAGTTCCCGGTACTTCCAGTGCAAGTGCATGTTTTCAATAGTACCATCAAAAACTCCACGTCTACCTGAAACCACGAACTAGATGTTGAGAATGTTATGGGGGAGCTTATACAAAGATTCTTACACCAATGGACCAAATGATAAACTACAATAAATGGGCTGACACCACATCTCAACCCAAAACCTTAAGGCTCAAGTTGTATAGGTCTTTTTTGCATTTATATGGTACTCACTTGGAACATTTCTCATCAATGTGAGACTTCTTTATAACTCGCACTTGAATATTTTCAACACTAGATACATATAAGCACCAAATAATGAAAGTATACTCGCAGGCATCAAGGAGAAGATGATTGAAGAAAGGGGCTAAGTGAAGATAAAGCTGATTTCTAACATGCTTTAGCTTTGAAGAATGGATTCACTACTTCTAGAAATGATATATTCAGGAATATTAATACCATGGACTAGATTTATAAGATAAACTTTTTTCTATCTGATTTCTTCCATCCCACACTTAGCTAGTGATGAAGTGAACCAAAGTGGTCCTAAAATAGAGTTAAGGACAATTTTATCTGGATAGAGCTTTACCAAGAAGTAAGAAAGCTTTCATCCGCAATCCTAATTTGCGAAACATAAATCTCTCTTCATCAGTTATGCTTTCAGGGTCTGCTTTGTATTCTGAAGGCTTCAAGGACGACTCCACCTTCATTAAGGCTCTTTCAGCTCCCCTTAACTTTCTTTCAGCCTGGTAAGCAAAAATCCAGGGATCATAATCATGCAAATTCTAAATTGGAAAATAATCCTAGAGTGAAGTTACTTACCGAAAGAAGACAATAAAGATTATTAAAACCTCCAGGAACCACAGACATGGTGTACATAATATTTATAAGCATTGATTGTCTAGGGTTTATTAGAGAGTCCTATTAAACATATTTGAAAATTATACGAGTCTAACTGGTATAACAAACTTATTAGGCTTGTTGATAATGTGGGAATCAGTTTCAGATACAAAATAAATAATAAAATGGTTCAGCCGTTCAGGCCTAACAGTAGTCAAAATTCAGCCCTATTAACACAGTTTTATTTAAGTTTCATCCAGAAAACCCTTAGAAAAAAAGAGCATTATCATCAAGCTGTATAATCAGAGAGATTAAACATTCAAGACATTAAAAAGATGGCAAGAGGCTTCCTTGATTTGAGGAACTAAAAGAACTTACCAAGGAAAGCTTCCGTTCTAACTTTTTAACAAGGTCGGCATGCCGTAGTTTTTCAACTTCTCTCATTACATTTTGCTTGTGTCGCTCATCCAATGTCTTTCCCCACTTTGCATCTGCATCCAAAGTTTCACCAAGAGTCCCTGCCTCTGCTGACAGCTTTGATGTATTAATAGCTGACATGACCAATGATGACGCTCTCAATCTTGCTTGCTCCTCCTCATCTTCCATTGCTTTTGCCATTCTTTCCCTCTCCAGCAAGGCTTGAGTGACATCTGCTGATAAAAAATTCTTTCCTCGAAAGAAGACCAGGAAGTCTTTATTTCTGGAGAGTAGTATACCACCTGTCAATTTCTGCAGCCAAAGATAACAGTGTACTTCAAAAGCGTATACCAAAATACCTGGTTTTTTTTTTTTTTTATCTTAATTATGCCTATATTTGATGTTGACAGCAAATTCCATCCAACACCAAGCTAATTCCAAAACCATCCGAGAGACTTTTATGGGCTGATTGACCAAAGTGCCCTAATTTTAAGAAAATTACCTATCTACCCTACCTTGGAAACTATTTACCAATCTACCTTACCCACACCAAAGTTGACCGCATAGGCCCCGCTGAAGACAAATGGGATCATGCCACATGTAAAGTTGAAGTTTCCGGCAAGGCCGATGTGTCAACTTTCGTCAAAATGAGGTAGATTAGTAAATAGTTTCCAAAGTGGGGTAGATTGGTAAATTCTTTTAAAATAAGGGCACTTTGGTCAATTAACCACTTTTATGAATTAACCTACATTGTTTAGTTCATCACAATGTCATATTCAAATTGTTGAGAATTACAATTCAAGCACAAGATCACCATCTTGTGCTTTATCCACACATTCAAACCCAAAGAGTTTTCAGATAAGGGAATGTGTTAGGTATAAAATCATTGATTCCGCCTAATAGCTTAAGCATGTGGGATAATTGATCCTTGAAAGAAGTAACCAAATAATATTGCATCTATCTTGCAGATTATAATAAGCTCCAATTCTCTGTTTAAGATTTATTCAACAAAATCCCACCAAAGGGATGTGTAAAATAGAGTGATGCCAAGCAACAAATTGCAGGAAAATCCCCTTTACTCCACATATACCATTTATTGTTTAAACTCAACAATAGTGTTTAAAAATCAGAAAGACAATACTTTCTCAAGTACCATACTTGATATGATAACAATTGGGAAAAGAATGAAAACATTTCAAATATAACCTAAATTTAGAAACTATAGCTTTACAAGAGGATCCATGTTATATCCCCTTTCCAGCAGATTATTCATATGATGTACCAGAACAGAAAAACAATTTTTAAATGAGTTGAGCCAGCTAACCACCATGATCAATATCAATGCAATCACATAATTAGCTTTTTGTGGAGAGGGAAAACGAGCTGAATAAGCAACGTCTCCCCCTAAATGAAATATCAGTATATCACTGTATGCACATATATAATCGATGAAAAATTTACAGCATATTCATTACGGGTACTCCTAAATGAGCTAGTACATCTTTTACGTAGAAAGGCACGGTGGGCATGTAACACCCCGAGCGCTGACGAGGGCGGGGAGTGATCGCCGGTGCAAAGAGGCACGGACAAGGAGCGGCTCCTGACAGGCTTCCAGCGGGGGGTTACATAACAAGAACACTTCATAGAAATAGGAATAGAAAACTAAGTAAGCTGATAAATGAAGCTGGTGGTTTTGTTTGCCGACAATTCAGAACATGCAATATCTATATGCCGAAGCATGATATATCATATGAACTTTGTATCATTTTCTTTTACTTACACAAAGTCAACAAATTTTATTAGCGGAACTGGAAATGTCATGATTAATCACCTTGATCTCTTCTGCCATTCTCTCACTGGTGGTTATCTGCACACCACGTTTGAGTGCAATCTTTGCAATAGAACTTTTTTCCCACAATTTAATCATGGCTACAGCTAAACCTTGAAGCTGTCTGCTTCTACCTATATGTCATGATTAATTTTTAATCAGAATAAAGTTCGAAACTTCACATGCGTAAGGGAAATAGTTACAAACCTAATGCAAAATGTGGAGGAAGAGCCCTTGCAATCCTTCGTAAAGCAGTTGCCTGCATTACACCAAGTGAGGATCTCACATGAAAAGGAAGAACTCTGAACGGGGGTTGGTAATCAGGAACAGTTGCAGGAAGCATATCTGCATCAACGGGCAATGGATCACACCCAGGCCAATCTGTGTATCTAGGACCTAGACCATCCAATATCTTGTCTACTTCATCTTCATAATTGTCATTTAGCAGATAATCTCTTTTCTTCTGGTCACTTGTAGATTCCAATTTCTCCAATGGTGCATTTATCCCAGAATCAGAAGCAAAGTCAGAAGGTTTTGCTGCAGAATTATAAGGTGTTGATAAAAATTTAGAAGAATTGTTGCTTTTCCTATATATCTGTTTATTCTGTTGTACTGAAGGATCCTCGTAGCTCACACCCCTGTATAAGGAAACAGAGTTGCCAGACCTCCAAATCACCAGACCACCAGTTTTTCTCTGAATGTGGTATTAAGAATAGACAAGAATATAGCAAAGGTTATTGATAGTTAAAGACGGAGGTATATAAAGAAAACTTAGAAAAATCCAAATTGAATCTGCACACATAAAACACAGCAATCAGCAGAGGCAATTCCAACATTCTAATCAGTAATCACAGACCATTCAAATTGATCCCTTTGGATAATACGGATTCTTCTGACAAATGTTGTGGTTGAAGAAGAAAAATATTTCCAGGTCCATAAGCATGCTCAAGAGGGTGCTCTAGAAGATGATACAGTTATTTATCACTCCATAGGAGAATTTGTAAAAAGAGGCATTTCACACGCTGAATCAAAAATTTTACAAACATCAAAACAGGTCCTAGGGATAGCTTTAAGAAAACTTGTTTGATATTAATTTAACTTTCATAATCAGGTTACCCAGCTCCAACCCCAGGAAAGGGAAACTTGTATACATTTTTCTTATAAAAAAATTCACTGCCAACTCTGTCAATCGTATTTACCCATATTTAATTTGACATGTCTTAAGCAGGAAAAATAATTGGATGGACATCTATTTGGATGACAATATTAAGCACCAAAAAAGGAGAGGGGGGGGAGAAGTTCTTTGAAATGCAATTCACTGTGTAAGACATGATAGCCCATACAGATTTTGTTGGTCTATCTACTTTCAAGAATTTCATGAAGCTCATAAGTTGCATACAGTGGCAATTTTACTAGTCCTCTTATATCTATCTAAACACGTTTATATATACTTGACAAAGATTTTGTCATACTTCAATAAACTTTTGTATTTGCTTCTTGTTACCGCCATGCATCTCATAAGTTTTGTAATGAAAACAAGACTTCTAAAAACATACAAAGAAGCTAAAGGTAAATAGCAAACCTCCAGTATCTCATGCATCCTCTTCATGTTAAGTGCAGCTTCGCCTTCAAATTTAAGCCTCACAATCTCTGATGTCTTCCACTTCTCATGAATCCTGTCTACAACTGCTTGAGTAACTCCACCACCCCCAATCCTTGTCTTATGCTTCTTCTGAAAAGTCAAGTTCATCAGCCTCCTCAATTCTGACTCAGGAAGAGTCAGTTCCGCCAGAGAGGTCTTACCTTTTCTCCTTGAAGAACTCCTCTCTTCCACCTCTTTAACCATTGGCTTCTCCCATGGAAACCTTACCTCCCCATCACTTCCAAAGCTTCCAATTCCAAATGGAGATTCTGGTGAAAACCCACCTCTTGTATTAGGCAATTTACCTTCCTCCACATAAAATATATCCTCCACGGACCCTTTTTCTATTACTCTCTCCTTTATTCTACCCTGCTTTTCAACCCCATCATCTACATACCCAAATTTCTTCAATTTTTCTACAATCCTATCCATGGTACTACCACCACTTCTATCACCATCACCGTCACCGTCGTCATCAGAGCTTGCAAAACCAAATTTTGATGCATGCCCATCTCCAGAACCTTGATAATCCAAAACGGCACGTGGCGGTTTAGGACGATAGTGTTTGCTGGTGGATTCATTCCACTGTTTTAACCAGCTCTGGCTACAGAGACTCTTACAATGAAAGATAGGTTTTTTCAAACCAACAAAACTGGAATTCCTAGAGGGTCTTTTCCCACTGATTGAATGGCACAAGACCCAGTTCCGGGTTGCACAGAAAGTGAGGTTATCACAGCAAGTGTACCTGAAGAAGCGGAGAGAGTGGAACTTGGGAGAACTGTGAAATGAATCGAAGAATGTTGCAGCAGGGTGGAAATTGCGAGTGGGTACAAGAGCCATCACATTCACATGAATGAAGAGAAAAAAAAAATGTAGATGATGTTGTGTAGGGGGTAATGGAAGTTAGCTTCTAAGTTCTGCTTCTTACCCTGTTTCGGAGAGACAAATATCCACGTTGTTTTTTGCTAACGCCAAAACGACAGTGGATGGGAGAACACTAAATAAATTTTCAGATATTATTTTTGGTCACTAGAAAATTCTGTTGATTGCATTTGAATCTTGGGTTTGAACAAATTTTATACATTTCCGTGAAAATGTATCCTTACAATTTTGGGGGTAATCAACTCGGCTGATTGATATTCTGCTCCTGTTTAAAAAAAAATAAAAAAATTCACTTTATCTCTTTTTTAAATTATATATTAACTTACATTTTTTTTAAGATTAAATTTGACTAACACTTATTCGAATAAATAAATTATAAGGACTAAGGTTTGATCAACTTACTCTACACAATATAAAGTTACCCTTGTAAGAAACTATTTGTCATTATAACGTTATCCTTTCCTTTTGTTAGATTCCATTTAAGAGAAAATAAAGAAAATACTGACTACAAATTCAAGGAATGTATTTCACACGAATTAAATTAACTGTTCCAACTAAATTACAATTCTAAGAAATGGATCTTCTCGCGTGGAAAAAAAATATGATATGGTCATGTAAGAAAATCACAACCATACAAAGGTAAATCAATAGTTATGATTTCGTAATTTACTTATTTTAACATTTTTTCTCTCTCCTCTTTTATTACCATTGATCTACCTTTGTATGGTTATAATTCTCCACATGATATGATTATGTGAATTTTCACAATGAGAATCGAGATCCGTCTTATTTAGAACTCAAATTGACTCATCTTATATTCTTATGCCCTTACTCCTACACAATAAATTTTGGTTATCGAGACTTAACAGTTTATTTATTGAAAGAGTCAGATTAAATTAGACCCCTTAAATTTAGTTATGGGCTCTACAACAAAACTTGGCTTTTTGAAGAATAAAAATATGAGCCCGATTCATAAAATTATGTGAACTCTTTTCATTCAATTAAGCCATTTTAAAATGAATTTAATTTTTTTAAAGTGAATGTAGATAAGCTATCTACATTCACTCTCAAAACGACAACATTTTAAATTTAAAAATTAAAAATATAATAAAAAAGACTATTATAACCCTGAAATAAATTATAATTACAAAAATACTTTGATTTTCGCCTCAAAATGACGTCGTTTTAGGCTCATTATGAATAAGTTATCTACATTAACGGTAGAAAAAGCAAACCCTTTTAGAATATATTAAGGTGAATAAATGACAAAAATTATAGGAGTGACTCTTCGGCTAGAGAATTGGTTGTCAATAGAGTTGGGGGAGTTACTTTTACTTTTCTTTTCTTTTTCACCCGTTCTTGTTGGCCTAGCAATGAGTTTTACTAACCAACAGTCAATGAATGTTCAATGCCTTAAAAAGCACATCATAGATGAATATCATGGGCGAATAAAGTGCTGCAAAAGCAAAACTAACAGAGAGCAAAACAAAAGAGAACTGCTCAATTTCTGCAGAGCCAAGTTTATTCAATTTTATAACATAGAGATGAATTGAAGCCAATTTTTTATTGCATACCCATTGGTCAAGGGCAAACCAAGTGGGTTACATGGCACCATGCATTCATCTTGACATACAAACATACATATATAGTTAAACGGAGACAATAGGAATCAAAACAAAGCAAAGTTGAAGGAATCTCTTTTCCTCCCTTCCATTCAGATCTTGCCACCGTTTGGAGCATCACCATGGCAGCACTTGTAATAAACAGATGTAACCTCCATCACACGCCCACACGTGGGATTTGGGCATGTTATGGTTGCTATGACATTTGCAGGATAGTTATCAACATTGAGATATGCACATGGTTGACCAGCATATACCTCTTTATGCTTAGTATCATAGTATTCTTTGAAGGCTATGTCAAAACCTTCTTTTTGAAGCACTTTGTCTTGCCATAACTCAAAATCCGCCAAAGTTTGATACATAGGCTCACCGTGACCCAGAAGCTTTATGTTATGGCCTTTGGCGAGAATGGCCCATCCTTGTGGATCTTGTTTAAGACAAAGCAAGCTCTTCACTATTTCTTGAATCTCACAGTCTAAGGGATTGTTGTGCTTCTTCAGTTTCTTGCTTTCTATTTCAATCCAGAAACGAGGAATAATCTTGGAGTCATTCTTTCCCAACTGATAGTGCTCTATTATTGCATCTGCCCTTAAGATAGTTTCATGCCTTTTTGTTTTCTCCACAGCCATTGTGAAGTCTTGAATCCACTTATTGTCAACACCTCCATAGATGAAGATGTACCTGTCCCCTTTGACCTATGTATATCACATACAAAAACATACATGTATAGATAATTTCATATTGATCTCTATATATTATTAATGTTGAAAACAAAATTAATTAGATAACAAAGTTGAATTTGTGTGTGTATTAATTAATATTGAGCTTACCTGTATTCCAAGATTTAGTTTCCTTGTTACATCCCAGAACCACTTCCATTTTAGAGTAAGGTCATAACCATCACTTTTCCTAAAAGGGAATGCGTCTATCCCCCATTGGAAAATCAAGTCCATAGCATCTTCATTTATAACTTCACCTAGAGAATTGACTACTGGGATAATAGGCTTATCCTTATAATTCAACTTCTCTCTTATTAGGCTAAGGCCTGGTAACTCAGAGAAGACCTCCACTGCGTACCATTTGATCTTATTCTTCGAAACATGGAATGTGTGCACCTGCTGGTCGTCCCAGTCAACAATGGGGATCCACAAAATCTTGAAATCCCCTTTGGTGTAACCTTTTATTATCTCATTTGGATTTTCCTGTAATCTGTCATAGATAGAATTCAACAGCAAAATCTCATCTTCAATCTTGTTGAGGCTTGAAATGAACAACAAGACATGCTTATGCTTGAAGACTTCAATATTCTGTTTGAAACATACAACAAAAGAAAATAGGACATAATCATTAGTTATGTTTATAAATATATAATAACAATAGACAATAGTTAACGTAGTCTAAATTCTTTAGTACTAACCGTTTTGGTTTTGTCGCTGCCGTCATATATTTGGACATCAGATCCATTCCGTTGGATCAGAAGCTTCAAGAAATCTACAATATCTTTAGGATTGGAAAATGACTTCTTACGCTTCAAGTAAGCTTCAACGGAATCTGCAACAAATGGAGATAATCTCCTATTAGCATTTGATCATTTCCATCATACTTACTCGCTAATCCAAAGGATTGAAAATCACTATTCTTCCTTAATATAAAAAATATAGGAGGCACAGAGCCCGTAACCTATTTCATCTTTGCTCCTTGTCAGATGTTCCTTCAAATTGTTAACAACCACAGAAAGCCTGTCTGTAAAATCTGATAATTTATAGTCCCTGAAACAAAATAAAGAATTGCGGTTATATGATGTGATAGTTACATTCAGAAAAATAAATAACATTATATAAACATAATATATTATCTTCAATTTTATAATTGGAAGTTTGTTCTATAAGCTATTTATAAATTGTGCACTTACACAATATTCCAATGAATCTTATCACATGATATGTATAATATTGTATATATGAAATAAGTTGAATATAGAAGATAACTTACGATACACCCACAACGTTGCCGGTAGCAGCAACAATGGAAGCAACAGTCCAATACACAACAAGAGGGATCTCTTGCAGGGCATCTGACAAGGAAGGCACTTCAACTGTGTCATAACCAACATCAGACCATGTTGACCACAGTTGGATGTTCTGAATCACTTCCATCATCAACCTGGACAACTCGGAATCCGGGATCTTTCTATTTTGAATTTGATTCAGTTGTTTCAATGAGTTTGTAAGTTGATCTGATGTTGAAACATCTCTGAGATACACAAGATTCCCATATTCCAAAGCGAAAGCAGCCAGTGTTACTAGAGCTTTTGCATCCCATGCGTATGTTTTGAGGTGCTGCAGAATCCACATTGTTGTTTGGTGCACATAATGTTCCCCACGAGGTGTGGTTATCATCTGTTGTCATAGTATATATATTGTTCTGAATTAAATTTACAAACAAATCATAAAACGAGACACCCCTTTTTGATGCAGAATAAAGCATGACACATTTCATCTAATATTATACAAATAACGTAAGGAATAATGATTTATAGAAATAAGATAACCTGACAAGAAATCAGCTTCAGTGTACGAAATTCTGGTTGGAAACTGGTCACAGCAGCTCTGCTTTCAGCAAACCTTGTCTGTGACTCACTCGGTCAAACAATTAAAAATGTTAGTGTTATATAAATATATCATTTTTTATGTAGTATAATGAACTAATTCAACTCAAAAGTTTAAGCTGTTGGGTGAGGCTACATTAATGATTTTTATATATCTCAACACGCCTCCTCACACGATAGCCCACTGGACTTGAAGGGTAAACAATGCACAGATCCACCTACCTGTGCGAAGAAAGAAATCTCACTAGAAAGAAAGTGTGGGAGACGATGAGGATCGAACCCGGTACACCAAGGCTCTGATACTATGTAAAAAACCAATTCAACCCAAAAACTTAAGCTGTTGGGTGAGGCTACATTAATGGTTTTTATATATGTCAACATGTAGTATAATGTGTCTTGACATTGAGAAGGTGATATTTTAAATTTATATATAGAAAGAGAAATAATTTAGCACGTATTTTTTACCTTGAGTAGAATGTTGGAGACAATGTTGAAAAGGATATCTTTATCACACTTTTCATCATCATGGAGATGGGTGAGATAAACCTTGTCCAGAATCTGAGGGTCAGTAAGATGAAGCGGGTTGGGTAGCTGAGCTTTTTGTTGAGCACTTGAAATAGGTGCATTGGACAGTGACATGGTGATTCAGCTTGAGGCTATAGCTACTATCCTTTGACTTGTTGAGTCTGTAAGCAAAGGATGTCTTATGGGGTTGTTGCTTCCACCTATTTATAGGCTCCAGAATATGCATAAGAGTTTACGCTTGGCATATAATTACTTTGGTTAAGAGAAAGAAAGAGAGACAGATAAAAAGAGAAAATATACGAAGTAGCTTCTGCTGCGGCCTTTCTAGGCGTGAAATGTGCCACTCTGATATGATTTTCACAACATGCCCCTTATGGGTTCATGAGGTATGTGAGATGACCAGGGATATCATTGGCAATTTGTTGGGATTTCACTAACCTTTGGGAAAAAAAGATGGTCTCATGCCACTGGCCAAATAGGAAAAAGAAAATGTCAAATAGGAAAAAGAAAATTTAGCAAAAGGAAAATGTACTATGTCTGTGATTGAACATTCAAGGAAAGAATGTTATATATTCGGTAATTTTACTGATCAATAAAGATGTCCTTAGATACAAACCTAAGAATAACTCGAAAAATTGTTGAAGAAACAAGTTGAAACCATCCTTAGAGGGTGAAGTATCTCGCTATAGAGGTGCTTAGCAGGCAGTGGCAGAAACCAAAGCTTTAGAGGAGTCACTTTAAGAAGATAGTGATATGAACCAAAACTATAGAAGAATCACTATGCGTTATCTCAAATATGATTGAGAGAGGAAGGAGTGTGTAAATGTATAGTGGAGAAGCCATAACATTTGTGCAATGGGTTCAGTGTGTGTCCTTTATAAATCGTATCCTTTTAACTTTTTATTCTACGTAGTTCCGGTAGTATATAGTTATGAGTTATGACATGCAAAAATTATTTTTTTTTCACTTTTCACTTTTTACATCAGCTCATGTGACTGAGGAGAAAAAAAAAATATTTTCTCATGTTATAATTATGTACTACTGAAAATACATAGAGTAAAAAAAAAACTAAAAAAACACAATTTATATCCTTTTAAAAGGTAAATAATTTTCCCTTGTGCAATATGCATAAGTGAGGACTACACCACTATGTATCCTGGATACTGTATTGAGCTGTGTAGGAGTGAATGATATTCTGGGTGAAGATCCATTTATTCACTATAGATATGATCCTTTCATGAGCCTTTGCGGGTTAGCCTGCATATATTTGGACTATGAAGGTTAATCCAAAACAAAAAATATGTATAATTAAAAGTGTAATAATAATATAAAATAGTTTTTGAATCTTTAGTCAATAACTTGAACATAATTAATTGTGGAATAAGGTTTGAATAGATATTTGAAAATCAATACTTCCAAAGAATGAAATTTTGCCGATTCATCGAGGTAACTTTAGTCATAAATTCACCATACATCTTAAAGTAGAGTATAATGAGTGATAAAGTTTTCAATTTATTTTCTTTTAGAAAATATATACATGTAATTTCTAACTTCAATTTTTTTATTTTTTTTAAAGTTCTTCTTTTTAATACAAAAAAAAATCCATAAAAATATATACTATAATTGCTAGTTATTATAAAAACTGATATCACATAAGATGTTTTCGCCTTTGAAAAAAGATGCTTATATTTATTATTAGGGGAATGAGTTTTTCTTGTTGCAGGAGAAATCATTACCTTCTTATACAAACATAAAATGTCTCGCCCTTTTTTTAATTTTGCATTTAGAGAAATTTATCACCCTTATTATTATTTAAGAAAGGATTTAGTATATGTTCTTTTAAAAGATACAAGATAGTGTCTTTTTAGCAATTATAACTGTATATTCCGAAGAGTATATTATAACTATTAAAATTATATATTTTTTCACTTTCTACATCGGCAGACAACTTTTGAAAAGAGAAAAAAATTATAATTTTAATATTATAACTATATACTTCTTAAAATATATAGGTATAATTGCTAAAAATACATAATATTGTGTGATTTAAAAGGATAATTTTTTTCCATAAGCTTAAATTTGTAAAATTTTTAAATAAGCCCAAAAATCTTACATGGATTCAAAAGTTGTCCTCGTACAAAATGAGTCATAAGATAAGAGGTATTCATGGGGTACGAGTACTTTTACCTCGCCCAAACCCAAGCCTGAAGTACGAGCGCATCTTCCATGCAATTGTCGTAGGTACTATTGTTATTGGGAATAAAACGCCAGTGTTTAAACAGTCTTTTTTTTCTTTTACATGTTATACTGTGTGAGCCTAGGTGTTTAATTTTTATTGGATCAATGTATAAAAAATCGGGTGCAGCGGTAGTATTTTAAAAATTTCCCTAAAGTCCGGCCTAGTAAAAGGCTATCGAAAAAGGTGTAAATTGGAATTTAATGAAAATAATATGGGACAACAAATTGGCCATCAATACACGTCAATGAAAAAGCGAAAATAGTATAATAAAAAAAATCCCATTAATCTAATTGAGTAAGGGTATTCTCTTTTTTCCTCTTAATTTTTAAATGGGAAAAGTTCAAAAATTTCATATGGTTTTATTTTGAAATTTGAATTTTTTATATCGCAATATTTTTTTAATCACTTTTCTCTTTATGATTTTTCCCATCTAAACACTTCTTTAACACATTTTGAAACTAAATTAATTCACCTATTTTACCCTTCTTATAATAAAAAAATTGAGGATATAAAAAATAAAATAAATAAAATTAAATATATTAAAAACTTACAACACTTACAGAAAAGACAAAAAATTAAAAAAAAAATATGTATAGAACAAAAAGAAGGAAATAGACTAAGTACAAGTACAACAACAACAAAACTAAATATATTAAAAACTTACAATAGTAACAGAAAAAAATTAAAAGTAAAAAAAAAAGTCTAAATCTAAAAAAAGAAAATAGGATGATGATAAAAAAAAAGACTAAATATGTTGAAAATTTACAACACTAAATTCTATTTCATTTTAGTCTTTTTTTTTCTTCAATTTTTTAACAATGATAAAAGAGACTAAAAGTGAAAAAAAAATCAAATACATCTAAATTAAAAAGAAAAAAATAGACTGAAAAAAAATATTGAAAACTTGCCATAGTGATTTCTTTTTCTTTTGTTTCTTTTTTGTCTTATTTTTTCTTCTATATATTTTTTTTGTCTTCAGCCTTTTTTTTCTTTTTGATTTAGAGTATTTTTTTAATTTTAGTCTTTTCTATAATTGCTGTAAGTTTTAATATATTTGATATTAATTTTTCTTCTTTTTTCCCTTAATCTATTTTCTTCTTTTTGATTTAAATAGATTTGATCTTTTTCCTTCTGTTATTATTATTTTTTACTTTTACTCTTTTATGTAAGTATTGTAAGTTTTTATTATATTTTGTCTTATTTTTCCTTTTCTTTTGTCATCGGTCTATTCTCTTATAAGAATAAAATAGACAGGTTAATTAAATTTTTAACTCAAGGATTGATTTGGATGAAAAAAAATTATAAAAGGCAAATAATTTCAAAGAAAAAATAAGGATATAAATAATACGATTAGTGTTTGTCATTTTAAAGAATATAAAATTATGTCATTTTAATTAAAATTATTGTATCTTATAATGAGAGAAATAGAAATCATTGTTGAGAAAGTCAAAGGTTTTTTTTAAATTTAAATACTAAATAAAAATAATGATTTTAACTAAAATGACTATCCTTTAAAATGACAAATATTTTTTTCATAAATAATAGAAAGCAAAATGGGTTTTTTTTTTTTTTACTTTTTCTTTTTAAATTTATTTATCTCCCGTTAATACGAGACCCTTGTATCGCAATCAGCCCTATACAATTTTACAAATTACGTTAGCTAAATTGGTCTCCATTGTTTTGAGGCGTATAAGTTGATGCTTCAATTCATATATCCCCATCGTGGTTACAATTCCCCTTGACTCACAAACTTTATATGTAAGATGCTATACTCAGACAACCTATCATTGCAGATCCCGTTTAAGACAAAGCAAGCTCTTCAAAATTCCTTGAATCTCAATCCACAATCTCCTGCCGCTTCTTTAGTTTCTTGCTTTATTTATAGGGTTTTATTAATCTCATGTTAAAGAAAATAAGTTATCTCATGTTATAGAGATAAATTTGTGGGCTACATCACCTGAAAAATAAAATAAAAAATAAAATAAAAAGGCGACACAGTTGTCAAAGGGTGTGTAGGAGAGAAATTTATCACATGTAACATAAAAGTAATTTTTCCCTTCTTTATATGCCAATCCCAACAATGAGCGATGATGTTGGTGTCATCGTTTCTCTCTTGAGATAATTTTATATCGAGTTACTAAATCTTAACCTTCTAAAAATAAATCAATTGATATAAAGAAATAAATAAACAAAATGACATTGTTTTGGGGTGACCAGAAATAAATATATCTCAAGTAACTTAGAGAGATATTTTTCTCATATATATATATATATATATATATATGAGACAGGATCCTTTGACACCGGTGTAAAAAAAAAAGTTTGACACCTCATCTGATAGCCGTTAGATTAAAAAAAATCAACAATTCTGATTTGTAAGCATGTGACACCATTGATTTTTTTAAATCTAACGGCTCTAATATGAGGTGTAAAACTTTTCCTTTGACACCGGTGTCAAAGGATCCTGCCTCTATATATATATATATATATATATATATATATATATATATATATATGGGAAAGGATATTGTAACTACCAAGTTGTGTTACTACCATGTTATTATCAATCAATTATGATTATGTTGATCCAACGGTTATATTTATTTTCATCTTTGTATGGTTATGATTCCCTATATTTAAAGTGAAAGCATTAAATATGCGAAATCATAACCATACAAAGGTAGAAATAAATATAATATTGAATAACATTTCCAATTCATCTACACACGTAGGAGCTGAGTGCTGATTGGTTATTAGTTTGTTATAACCATTTGGTTATTAGTTTGTTATAACCATTGATTAATTTGTTGTAACAGCTTTTGCTGACGTGTAGATTCTCATTCAATATTTCTACCAATAAGCTTGGTATATAAACTGTAATTGACAGAGTAATGAGGACATAAAATCTTTTCATGCTTTTCGTTCTTTCTCTCTCGGTTTCTATCTCAAAGGCTTCTTTATGGTATCAGAGCTCAATCTGAGCTCTGGTATTCAGCCATGGAAACTTCAATTCCAGTTCTTCATCAAGATCAGATTCCTACTCCGGTTCTTAATCCAATTCCAACTCTTCACTCAGTTCCACCACAAACCTCTATTCCTTTACCTGATTTTCTCACAAATCCAGGAAATGTTCTCTATCTTCATCCGAGTGAAACTCCTTCAAATCTTCTTGTTTCTTCAGTTCTTAATGGTGCAAACTATCATGCTTGGTCAAGGTCTATGAAGATGGCTCTAATGTCCAAGAACAAGCTTAAAATTGTCGATGGCTCATTGCTTATTCCTAATGTAACAGATCCTTCATATCAAGCTTGGGAGAGATGTAATAACATGGTCCTTGGCTGGATTCACAAATCAATCAGTGATTCCATCAGCAAATCCATCCTCTGGATTGATAAGGCTGTCGATGCTTGGAAAGATCTTAATGATCGATTCTCTCAGGCTGATATCTTCAGAATCTCTGATCTTCAGGAGGAAATTTACAAGCTGCAACAAGGTGATCGAAATGTTGCTGATTATTTTACTGAACTGAAAATACTATGGGATGAACTTGAGATTTTGAAACCTCTACCTCATTGTACTTGTTCTGCAATCAATCATATGCGAAAGTACAGAGATCGTGATCATGTAATCAGATTTCTGAAAGGATTGAATGAACAATTTCACAATGTTCGATCTCAGATCATGTTGTTTGATCCACTTCCCGAAGTCAACAAAGTGTTCTCACTTATACTGTAGCAAGAGAGACAGATCCATAGTGGTGCTCCTGTTCTCAATGATGCTTCCAGTGAACCTAAAGCCTTTGCACAATTTTCTTCCAACAACAATTTCAATATGAATAACAAGAACTTTTCTGGAACTGGCAGAGCAAGATGGAAACCTAATGCTGGGAGATCTGGATCCAAGTATTGTGTCAACTGCAAAGATGGAAATAAATATAACCGTTGGATCAACATAATCGATCTAACGGTGAGATTGATTGGTAGTAACATAGTAGTAACACAACTTGGTTGTTACAATAACCTTCTCCTAAATATATAGGGTTAAACATTTCTACAGTCACTTTAGATAAGGATGTCTACAACTACTCCTTTATTAACTTTAGATAAGGATGTCTACCCCTACTCCTTTAGATAAGACTTAGTTAAAAAAGGGTAGCTGTAGAAAAAAACAGTTTTGTAGAGTTATGATTCTCCACATTTAATGCTTTCACGTATATATATGGCAAGTATTTGACAGCTGCACATACATATAGAGTGTCTGCAAAAAAATCGAATCCATATATGGGTAAACATTTCTACAGTCACTTTAGATAAGGTTATCTACAGTTACCCTTAAAAAGAACATAGTGTAACCTAGTGTTCTCCCGTGAGTAAATAGTGTAGTTTGTGAAAAAAAAATTTGTAAATATAACTCTCCCTTATATATATATATATATATATATATATATATATATATATATATATATATATATATTGTCTGCCTCTTACATATATTAACAACATAACATAAACAAGGACAAATTAATTATTGGAACTGAACCACAACAAAATTGAATGCCGATGTAAGGTGCTACAAAAATAACGAGGAACAAATAGAGGGAGAGAGTTGATCAATGCGCGCAAGCATAACTAATTTTATTCAATCAACAAATTCAGTAACATACAGACGAATTGAAGCCATTATTTAGTTTCAACCCATTCAATGGGGAAGAAAGTGGCTATAGGATACAATGTCATTCGTCTGGACACACATGCATACAAAGTAAACACACAAAAACCGAAGGGAAACTAACTTCATATATTTAAGCTAGCAAAGCAAACTTTGCTTTGGAAGATACTTGTTGGTCCACAGAAATCAGATCCTGCAACTGTTTGGATCATCACGATGGCAGCACCTGTAATTAACGGATGTCACCTCCATCACACGACCACAATTGGGATTTGGGCAAGTTATGGTTGCTAAGACATTATCAACATTGATATAAGCGCATGGGTTACGAGCAGATATCTCTTTAACCTTACGATCATAGTACTCTTTGAATGCCACGTCAAAGCTTTCTTTCACAAGCACTTTGTCTTTCCATATCTCAAAATCAGCCACAGTTTGATACATAGGATCCCCATGACCCAGAACCTTTATGTGATCCCCTTTACTAAGAAGAACCCATCCTAATGGATCTTGTTTAAGGCAAAGCAAGCTCCTCACAACTTCTTGAATCTCACAGTCCACACCAGGATCCTGGCACTTCTTGTTCTGTTTCTTGCCATCTATGCCAATCCAGAAATAAGGAACCAAGTCGGGGTTATCCCTTCCCAACTGATAATGCTCTATGGGAACATCCACATCCTTGACATGCTCATGCTTTTTAAGTTTTTCTATTGCGATCGTGAAATCTCGGATCCACTTATTGTTTTCGACACCTCCATAGATGAATCTGTAACTGCCCTTTTTCATGTCCTGATTCACATTGTTGGTAAACGTAACTAGTTTTACAAATTAATTAATTAGATAATAATAAACCAATCTGTGAAATATGTGCACTGTTTTTATATATAAGTATAAATATATATATATATATATATATATATATTTGTGCTTACCTCTGTATGAATATCAACTTTATTCATTAAATTCCAAAACCAGCTCCATTTTTTAGTAAGATCATAGCCATCAATTTTCCTAAAAGGAAATGCTTCGATCCCCCATTGAAAAATAATCTCCAGTGCATCCTCATTTATTATGTCTCCTTTAGAGTTGATCACTGACACAATAGGCTCGCTGTTGTATTTCAATTTCTCCTTTATGATCCCAATGCCTGGTAACTCATCATAGAAGTACTCCAACACGTACCATTTCATGCCTTCCTTCAATTCCATAAACTTTTTCTTCAGGCTGTCGTTCCACTTATCATCCACAATGGGGATCCACAAAATCTTGAAATCTTCCTTCATGTAACCTTTTCTATCTTGTTTTGGATTTTCCTGCAATCTGTCGTAGATAGAATTTAAAAGCAAAATCTCATCTCGAATATTGCTGTCGAGGCTCGAAATGAACAGCAAGACATGTTTCTGCTTGAAGACTTCAATACCCTATTTGGGAAATTGAAAAAAGACATATAATCATTTATGATTTAAGTAATGTTTTCAAGTTTCCTTGAGATGAAAGACAAAAATTACGTCAGAGATTTATTATCATATAATACGAGACAAGTTACCTTGAATAAGAGAGATATACACCTAATATGAGGCAATAATAGTTAAGGCAACCTGAATGCTTTTAGTACTAACCGTATTAACTTGGATGCCACCTTCATATAATAAGGGTATCTGAGATCCATTGCCATGGATCAGAAGCTTCAAAAGATCTACAATATCTTTGACATTTTTAGAGTTCTTCATACGGTTTCTGTAATCGTCTATCCTGCCTGCAACAACAAATGGAGATATTGTATCTCATTGGCATTTTGAGTTCAAACTCCAAACAATTTGGAGGAAAAGGAAGCGCTATATATATAAGCACATATATTAATTACCTATTTCCACTTTGCATTTTTGCAGATGATCCTTAAACTTGTCATTAATGGCAGCAGAAAGCCTGTATTTAAAATCTGATAATTTATGCTCCCTGAAACCAAAAAATAGAAAATAAATCAATTCCATTCATATAATATGATATTCCAACGAGGTTGAATAGACCAGAACTTACGATATACCAACGAGGTTGCCAGTACAAGCAACAACGGTAGCAACTGTCCAGTATACAACAAGAGGGATCTCTTGCATTGCTTCTGATAAGGATTGCACTTCATCTGTTTCATAACCCATAGCACACCATGTTGCCCACTCTTTGAGGAGCTGAAACACTTCCAATAAGAACATGACTAGTTCGTTAATCTCAGCAGGGACCTTTCTGTTTTGAACTTGGTTCAGTTGCTTCAATGTGTTTCCAAGTTGGTCTGATGCTGGAATACGATAAAGGTGCCAAAATTCCCCATATTCCAAAGAGAAAGAAGCCAGAGTTATTAGTGCTTTCGCATCCCAGGAGAAGCATCTTAGCTGTTGAAGAATCCAAATTGTTGTCTGATGTGCACATTGTGCAGTGCCACGTGTCGTTATCATCTGTTATGATGCCAGCATCAATTGTAAGCAAGACATATTTTTTGCTTAAATTTTTATGTTCTTATAACTGATTATTCAGTAAATTCAATAACATATATACATTAAAAAAAAAAAATAACCTGACAAGAAATCCGCTTCAATGCAGGGAAGTCTGGTTTGAAACTTGTCACAAGAATCTGCGACTGACTCTGTAAAACAATCAAAATGTTAGTTTTAATATAATTTACAGGTTTATATTATTTGGTTAAGGTATAATAATGGAAAATTAACTAGAGATTTTACAGTACCATAGATAAATAAAGTATATATATAATTGCTAAAGTGAAAGGTTAATGAAGGGTGTAACTATGTTGCTTACAACAGTTCCAGAAATTTGAGTTGAGCCAGAGATAACGTTGGACGTAAGGTTGAAAAGGATATCCTTATCGCACTTTTCATCATCATTGACGTGGGTCATATAAACTTTGTGCAGGATCTGTTTGTCATCAAGCTCAAACGGGTTAGGAAGCTGAGATTTCTGCTCTGGCAAGGTGGCATTCTGTTGGATCAAAGTGGCATTTGAAGCTGCATTGGACAATGACATCATGACTCAATCTGTGAATTGTTATTTTTCTGAGTTTCGTATTTGAAAGCAAATGATGTTGTGCCTTGTGCTTTAGATGCTCCCACTATTTATAGACTTTGGAGTGCAAAAGGGAAGCAAATTGCCTCATAACTTTAGTAGAGAGAGAGAGAGAAATAAATAAATAAATAAAAAGGAAAAAAAAACAAAGTAGCTTCTGCAGGGGTCTCAGAGCATGAAACATGTTGATATGATGTGATTTTCACAATAAACCCTTGTGTGACTTGGGTTCTTTAGTCGTGTGGGTTTAGCTTATCAGGGATATAACTGCCATTTTATTGGAATTACTTTACTAAAATTTTCTTCCTTTTTTTTATAAGAAAAAGAAACTATTTTCTTCCTGGGTGCCGGGTGGTGTGTATTTGAATATCGCCAAACTTTTCCTTTTGAGGAAGACCACAGTGACCTGTGACTGCAAAAGGGCAAAAGAAAAGTGAATAAATATGGTACGGAAACAAACCTTAATCTATCTATTTAACATTGGATTTTATATTTCTCATCTTCGTATCTCATAGAGATAAAAATTATATGGGATACATATATTAAAAAAAATTATATATGAAATTCATATTAGTACGAAAATTAAATAGTGTATAAAAAAAAATTTCTTCTCATATTATATTAGAAGTATAAAACCCTTAAGTATTTTTTTAAAAAATATTATATTTACAAACTCATCTATGTATTTTGAGAAATACAAAAATTTGTAAGAGTTTGTAAATTTTATTATTTGTAACCCTCCCCTTATACATAACTAGAACATTATTATTAATGTTTTCATACTTTCATCATATTATATAATCTGTAAATTATATATGATGATTAATTTATAAAAATAATCACAACAATGCATTATTAATATAATTTTGTAATTATTCACTTTATTATATATGAAATTATTTTTTATCAATTTACAAATTAAGAATTTGAACAAACCGAATCTTTTTTTTTTTTACTAGTGTGATATTAGATGTGGATGTTAAGGTGGATACGTGTTTATACGAGGATGGATAAGATAAGAAATGAAGATATTCGACGTAAGATACGAGTATTACCAGTGGTTGAAAAGATAAAAGAACATAGATTGAGATGGTTTAGGCACGTATTGAGACGGCACCTGGATGCTCCTGTAAAAATAAAAGTTTGTTACCAAGATCTCGACATAAAGAAAGGTAGAGGTAGATCGAAATTTACTTGGGGGAAGGTAGTAAAACAAGACTTAATGGAGTGGGATATAAATTGGCGGACAGTGTGCCTTAGGACGGAATGGAGAAAAGCTATTAGCATGTTGAAGGATTAGACCCGTTGTTATTCCTATGTTTCAGATGGTCCATTTTTAGCCATTTTCCTCTTAATTTCCCCTCTTCTTCTTTTCCCCTTCCCAATCTATTTTTTATTATTTTTTTATTTTTTTTATTTTTTTATTTTTTTATTTTCTTACACCCTTTTATTTTCTTTTATTTTCATATATTTTTTTTTATCCTTTTGTACTTTTTATTTGGGTTCATCTACCACCGACTCCAATTAGTTTGGGATAAATGTGTTTTAATTGTTGCGTATAATTGTAGCTAATGTAATCTATGATGCACCGACACTTCAACAAATTGACGTATCGTGTTCGACACTCACTGAGAGGGGTGTTCGCGGTCTGGATTAGATCGGTTTTGGAAGCAAAACTCATCTGATCCAATCCCTTCGGTTTGATCATGTAATCATCCATTCGGTTTATATTTTTTTTCAAATCCGATCCGATTCAATCCAATTTTTTTCGGTTTGGATTGGATCAGTTTTCGATTTTCGATTTTTTGAATATCCTAAAATTAGTTTCATGATTATTGTGCAAATAATATCTTTTGTATATATTGGCTTTGTAAAAAAAAAATTTGAAATACAAAACTATCAGTAAACAATACTATAGTTGATGAGACGTGACTAAGTTTTTTCTTGGGTTTAGTTGATGAGTTAATGGGTCTTTGAGTTTGGAAATTTTTGGGTTATGATTGGAAAAAGGACACGTAGGTAGAGGATAATTAATATATTGGATCGGTTTGGATTGGATCGGTTTGGGTTGGATCGGTTTTCAGTTTTTTTTTCAGTTTCTGATTTTTCGATTTTCGGTTTATTCGGTTATCGGTTTTTCGGTTCGATTTTCGCGGTTTGAATCGGTTTGGATCGGTTGATGAACACCCCTACTCACTGACACTCTAACACGCGTTGCAGAGACTCAAAAAAGGGGTTCAAAGATTACATTGTGTTGTGTTTTTAATTCTATCTATTAGATTCGTTGGATTACGATTACCATTTTATTGAGTTTAATATAAATATTTAGGATATCTTATGTTTATTTGCAAAATTGATGGGTATTATAAGTTTAGCTTCATTTTTTGGGACAGTGACCATTTTGCCACGCCTGGTCAAATTATTTACCAGACTGCCACACCAACAGTAAAAATTCCCAGAATGCCACGCGGCATAATTCACTACATTGTGCAGCGAATTATGCTTGCAAATAATTTGCTACACAGTGTAGCGAAATATGCCATGTCATCAAAAATGACACGTGTCAAGCAGGCAGTAATTTCCTACACTGTGTAGCGAATTATGCTCGAATTACTGTTTGCTTGGCACGTGTCATTACTGCTGACTGTGCAGCCTGACATGACATATTTCGCTACACTGTGTAGCGAATTATTTGCAAGCATAATTCGCTTCATAGTGTAGCGAATTATGCTGCGTGGCATTCCGAGAATTTTTACTGTTGGCGTGGCAGTCTGGTAAATAATTTGGCCAGGCGTGGCAAAATGGTCATTTTTCCTCATTTTTTGTTAAATTATTGAATATTAAATATAATATGCACTACATAAATTAAAAATATTATTTAATATCAAAATATGTCCTAACATTTTAGAATTAACGTGTCGAAGTGTCATGTCGTATCGTGTCCTATGTCGATGTTGGTGTAAGATATAATGTAACATTAGATGGAAAGCTGGTGTACCACTATGAAGTCTAAAAGAGTAATTTTAGGGGTTGATTTTGTTTAAAGAAACGTGCATGTAATATGGGAGCTATGTATAGATATACCACTTACATTTTGAATATAAATATAGGGTTTAATATCTCTTAGGACATAAAATTATCTCATATATATATATATATATAAAAGTGTGTGAATTCATATGTTTTTTCTCTCTTTTTTACCTCCTATAATATGACAAACATCAGACTCATAAATATATCAGATATTTGGAGTTAAAATGTAAAAATCATCTTTATAAAATCCCTTAGTCTTAACATGCGTAACTTGCTTTTAACTGAATTATTGGGGATATAAATTAGTTTAGGTTTGCTTAACTCAAAATCTTAATAATCACTAAAGAGTACTCACTCTTACCTTCATGGAAGAAAAAGAAAACAATAAGTAATTCAATCAATTCCTAACACCATTACTTTTCTTTTTCTTTTAAGGAAGCGAAATCACCTTAACTCCGCTTAATAGGGTTATCGCATACAGGGACAGGAAAAGTTGGGTTCAGTCCGTATAGGAAGGCAATAGATAATGAAGTTTATAGGGAAATTAATTCGTTATGAAGAAGTTTCGTTCTTTTTCTTTATTAAGAACTTTTTCTTTTTGAATAACCCGTCAATCAATGAAATATTCCATACCAAACATGTTTCTCTTTTGTATAATTCGGTCTTCTTCAAGTTTGTTTACAAACTTTTTCTAATTGAAAAAAGAAATGTTGGTGTGATATTGTTCAGCTTTGTTTCTCTAGAACTCTCGGCATAAGGAAAAGGATTAGTTAGGAAACTGTTGGTGTTTGAATATTCGATTGAAGAAGGATTACAAAAGAGAAACTGCTACGAAGTGTGTTGAAAGGAAGTTTGTAAATTTAAATTACTGTTGCAAAGTTGTTTTAAAATTATTGTTACAAAGTTGTTTATATTTTAAAACCACTGTGATCAGATTGAATAGGATAGAGTTGTTAGGATATTTTTCCTATTATTATTCAGAGAGTTGTTTTGTACACTTGTATATATACCTCATTAAAGAGGAAGATGATATATGAATGAAAAAGCATCATTATTCACCTGTATTGCATTCTGACATGGTATCAGCCTTTTGATCTTGGGAATCATTCCCACCTCAATTTTTTTCCAACACCCGTACACCACACCCTCTTCCTCCTTCTTTTATACAACCCGACCCATTTCCTCCTCTCTTTTTTGTTAACCAACCTGTACCCCACCCGTAACTCATCCGTAACCCAATCGATCTAAATTCCTAATTCCCAAATTCAATGGCCTCCGTCACCCCTCCAAATGACTCCAATGACTCCAACCCTCTCTCAAATCCCCCAGCCACCGTCACTTCCCCTGTACCCTCTAATATTGTTATTCAACAAGACACCTCCTCGTTCCCCATTACTGTTGTCCTTGATGATAACAACTATCCTCTTTGGTCCCAACTAATGGACATGAGGATCGGAGCTCGGAACAAGTCGGGATTTCTCACTGGAACCACAATGAAACCAGCAACCACTGATCCGACGTATGAATCCTGGATCACCGACAACAAGCGGGTGAAAAGTTGGTTGATCGACTCGATGACTCCTCAACTGATGCAACGCTTCATCCGCCTCGACTCCGCTCATGAAATCTGGGATGCGGCTCGCCGGACCTTTTATGATGGTTCAGATGAAACTTGCCTTTTCGAACTCAACCAACGCTCCTTCTCAACCAAGCAAAACGGTCGTCCTCTGTCTACATACTACAATGAACTCCTCTCCATATTTCAAGAAATTGATCACCGAATGACCTCCCCTGCCACCACCGTGAACGAAATACTTCAAACACACTCATCCCTGTCTCGTCTGCGTGTCCACATCTTCCTTAGTGGCCTGGACTCTGATTTCGACCAAGTCCGTGGTGAAATCCTTCGAAAAGATCCCAAATTGGAT